CTATCTATCTATCTATCTAGTTTTGTTCTTTTTGTTCTTTAAGGTCAAACACCTACAGTCAGGGTGAGAGTGTTCTTGTTTTGCGTGAGTGGTCATAGATGATTTGATGAGTGAGCTAGTGAAAAGACTGAGAGTTGGATGAGTCACAAGTTGAGTTAGGTAATGAGTAAATGTGGGTGTGTGCGGTTTAACGAATATGTGCATGAGTGAATGTGTTGATGTGAAAACGTGCACAACAAGTGAGTGAACGAGTGAGTGTTATCTGTGTGTGCGCGCATGTTGTTCAGTGCAGGGGTTGCTAAAAGCCCTGCCAATTATTACTGGACAGATTTTGCTGCCTGTGCCATTAGCGCTGAGCTGTTCCTGTAATTGCCAAAGCGTATAACCACATCCAAACAGGCATCTGATGCCAGGTAGAACAGTCTCTGATTTACACAGCAAACCAAAACTGTTTTACAGGTAATTTAACAGTGATCTGCATTATCCAAACAAGTGAAAGATATGTTTACTTTGATGACACTGTCAGAAGCAAATGTTATAGGTTTATAGAGAAAAAGGTTGAAGTTTTAAAAAGGGTAACAAAAGTGTGTCATTAAAATCAGAGTGGTGGTGGTGATGCAGTGTAATATTAATTCTTAATTATGACCCAGTTGGAGAATTTTGAACTAGATCAAAGTACCAAAAAGCATAATCCCCACAGGTTATGCAAATCATATCAGTGGTGACACATTTGAGTTTCAGATTTAACCTTTAATAGCTTCCGCTTTAGGCCAATTAATGTGTTTTAAAAGAATCGGTGGACGTGTGCAGCAAGCGTTTCCATCCAATTAGACTGTCAGTGTAAGATTTAAGATTTTATTTATGTATCCAAAATCCGACCAGTGGTAATGGAAGGAAAGAGGCTGGCAGATTTATACTCACTGTCCCGGTTTGGGAGTCAAGTGGAGTGTTTCAGGGACCATTGGGATGGGGCCACACTTTATTTGTCTGTGTGGCTGAACAGGTGATGGCTCTGTTTGTCGCCCCCTTTTGTTCAGAGCGGAAGGGAGAGTGCTCTACTGAGAGAGGAGGCCTGTGGCTCACCATCTGCCCACTGGTCTGGGGATTGCCAGAGTCACTGGGTTTGCCAGGTAGAAAAGATGGAAATAAGCTATTGGTGCTCCTGGTCTCTTATTATATTAGGGATCTGCCAACTCAGGCTTACTCTACTGTCATGCACGCTTCATGTGCTCTTGGTAGAATACTCCATCTCTGTGGGTCTTGATAAAAGACATCCCAAAAAAAGTAATACTGAAAAGCGAAAATAGAAAATGTGCAAATATATGTAAAACCAGTACAAACTTAGGCAGGGAGTGAGACACCCACCCACAGACCCATGCAAATACCAAGAAAAACCCTCTTGACTTGGACCTAAGAAAATATAAGACGGATTGTCACAGCAGCATAAGTAAATACAAAAACATAAAAAGGAGCAAGGAAAATAAATATAGAGGTACGTTATGTACCTTCCATACATTTCAAAGTATCTACTGTAAGAGGCAAGGAGCGATGGGTTTATTTTCTTTGATTACCTTTAAGTCAAGTCTAAATCTTTTATTTATGCCAGCACTCTCTGCAGAACCCTGGACAGACTGTGTGACTGGATATTGGCATATCTCCGTGTTTATGTTTGTATCTTGTGTGCATGAGTGTGTGCGGTGCGCTGTGCTCATCGCAGCTTCATGTGTGGGAGGGGGAGCAGTCATGTTTTAAGACCATCTGCTCCTCTGAGTATTTTAGTGGGGGCCTTAGCTGGTGGACGAACGCGCGTCACAGGCAAACAGCAAAGCGCAAGCTGTGAGCGGGCCTGTTCCGGAAAAATTCCTCCAGTTTCTCCCTCGCACAATGGGCAGTGTTCTGCATACAAGCTTCCCATTCTTTTTCACTCTGTCCAAGAGCCACGGCGAATCTCTTGTACACAGGCCGCAGACGATATTCACAATGAAAATGTTCTTCTTGGCACAGTTGATTGTTTGTATGAGCCTTTTGGTTTGTGTGAGCAATTTCAATAATGTAAAATGACTCATAAAAGGTGTTGTGGCCTGATTTAGCAGAGATGATTGTTCAGATAGCATCTGTATCCCTGAAGCGTGATGTGGAATAAGTAATTAGGTTGAGGTTTGATTACTTTAGATATTAGAACCAGAGGTTCTGCACACAGTAACAAAAAGATCAGATGGAGATAAATAAGCACTGATGGACTTTTAGTCTTAACTGAGACTTTTAGCTGATATAACTTTTTGCTTTTTCTTCTTCTTTCTCTGTGACACAGAAACAAACATGGCATGATTCTGTTCAACTAGACCCTCACGCCATCCATTCTCACACATTTAATGTACAAATGCTGCATATACAGTGAGCACAGTCCAAGCTGGACAATGGAGCAGGCTGAGCTTACAAACAGCACAGAGGGGATGCAGAGGAAGGTCACATAGCTGCACACCCCACACTGAGGAGTGTGTTGGCATGCCTTATGCAGCATGTGTGTGTAGGGGGTGTACTGTATGCCGCGTATTCATTTGTACACGGCTTCAGAGCGTCAATGCAGCATTCTCTTCCTCAGCTCCTCTCCAGACTGTTTATGGAGGGATTCCCTTGAGGTTATCCATGGCTCGGTCAATGCCATCACTTGGCTGGTGGCCTAACAGCTTTTGGACACAGTGACTCACCCTACATGTAACAATGAGAGTGGGGAAAAAAGTGCCACTTCGATAGACAAGTTGCCTTTGTTAAATTTATATGTAAACTAGTGCTTGTTCATGCTTGTGCTCCCCGCCCCCACAAACATTCCCCAGCAGGGAAAATATTAGATCTGCATAGGGCTGGAAAGATCAATGATTATGCCCTGAAGCCTTTTTTTACATTTCTGAAATTCAAATTCATCCAGGCATGGCTTTAGATTGAAACGCTTTCTTGAGTTTAATTGTGATTTATCGTCTTTTAGGTGGTGACTTTTTTTAAATCAACCGTTCTAGGTTCTAGGTTCTAGGTAACCTTCAAAATCTGTGTTAAACTAATGTAAATCTTTAATCTATATAACCATATCCATTTCACAAGTTCTATGTTCCTCCTACTCTCTCTGTATGTTGCTCTACCGCAGCCTTACTCAAAGTGATTATTGAGTCATCATTCCTTTACCACGCAATGTTTGCCCTTGTGTCTTGGGCATCAACCTCCTGAAAAAGTTCAGCTAATGTCAACATGTTTTGCTTTGACCTCAGAAGAAAGAATGATCAAGGTCCAAAGTTCAATGCATTGAGACACATAGGACAGCTCCGGCAAATGGTGGAACAGAGGAAAGGAATTCTGAGTGGGCCAAAGAACGGCTCCAGAAATGCCTGAACGCATATTCAGAGCTGCCCACGACACATGTAAACCAGTGCTCATACAGACTCCCTCTCTTCCCCTTCCCCTTGTCTACTTCTCACATCTCTCTTTATCTCCCTTTTCTATCATTTCCCATTGAATCTGACATCTAGGATTCAGAGCAAGACGACCAACTCAGGGAAAACAAAAACAACGGGAAGAAGACGAAGAAGAAGAAGAAGAAGAAGAAGAAGAAGAAGAAGAAGTCAGGACTGAGAGGGAGCAGGAGCCTGGTGCTGAGGCTGGTATGAGGCAAGTGTTTTGTGTGTCATGTGCGCTTAAGTGTGCACACGTATGCTGTGTGTGCTCTGTGCCAGCCGTTTGTCTGCCCCATCAATGAGGCCGTTGTTGCTGGGGTCGGTGGTGGTGTCAGTGGTCCTGCCTGGCTGCTCGGCTCTATTCTCTCCTGCCGTTGCTGATGCACGGCCTCTCTGCCTGGACATACTCGCCTAGCTCTTGGCCTTTTGTTGCAGTGCAGATGGTGAAGCTTGACGCAACATTGGAGAAAAGTTAAGATTGTCACAGCCAACAGTGTGGCATTATGGGCCAAGATGTCTTAAAATGTGACCCCTTTCCATCTGAGATGATTATTTTTAAAGCAGTTATGATACATTTTTATAAGAATGAATGAAATGACAGGGGTCACTCATAATTATCACCTAAATCTACAGCTCCTCTCGTCTTTGTGGAGCTTTATAGCAAGTTTCAGCTCATGGGTTTACTTTTTTTGTTCACTCTCACTGCTCCCATAGCATCCTTTTTTGGCATCCTTTTCAGTGAAAAACAACTCTAAATACTACCTGTATACTACCTGCTCAGCACCACACAGCAAACAGACACAGTTACTGTTAGTGAACAGAGTGGAACACTTAGCAGCTAAAGAGCCAGATATTTCCCTCTTGGTAGGAGTTGGTAGAGACCAGAGACCAGAGCTAAAAGAGAGGCAGGTGGTCGGAAACATGACTCAAAATGAATGATATGGTTTTTCTATAACTGCTGTCTGTGTAAATAAACAAGAGAACAAAGAAGTTTGCCATATCAGCTTAATAGGTGATAATATGTCAATACTGTGTTCACAACTTATTTCTGCTGCCCCCAAGTGGCCAAAAAATGCTAGTAAGTAGAAGGTAGCTAATAGCCAAGTAAATTTACTTTAAATGTTCACTTGAGCTGCATGATGAGCAGTATGACAAATCCACAGCCTCCTGCAGTGTTGAAGCAACATCATTTTTCTCTTCTCTCCGTCAACAAGGCTAATATTGGTCATAGATTCTCTGGGGGTTGTTGTGATGTGTTAATCACGAAGCTCTAAAACACAATCCACTCCTAGGCCTGCCATCTGCACACACCGGCTGCTGCAGCATGAGGCTAAATCCTCTGCTTCTTCTTGTGCTTGTCTCTACTTCTACATCCACTGCACAAGTAACAGTCATCATCATAATAGTATGTATTTTATTTATATAGCATTTAAACACATATTTTGTTAAAAACATGCAAAGTAAAAAGCAAAAGCCAGCTAGAATGATTAAAATGTAAAAATAAACTAAACACTCAAAAAGAATGGATTACGCAACAATATTACATTTTACTGATAAATAGATGAATTACAGTATTTTCTGGTGTTGCAGTGTTACCTTCCTCAGAGTGCAGAGCAGTGTTGTAATTGCACTTTGTTACCAACCTGCATGCATTTAATATACAGATAAAAAATCCTACAGAAAAAAATCCTTCCATGAAACATCTAAACATTTATGTTACAGTGGGTGCAGTCAGTGATTGGCCAAAAGTAATACTGAAACAACAGTTAGAGATAGTGGTGATGCATTTAGTGATGAAAAAGGTTCTCAGGAGGTATTCATCTGTGGAGACATCAAGAGGCACAGTTGTTCTTGTGGTTGGAATGTATACCCTCACATCAATAAACAGGTTAAATAGGGGAACGTGTGACCTATTTTTTTATCTCAAAATGACTCAATGAGCGGTGTTATATGTTTTCTCTTTTTTCACCTTATATAACAAAAATAAGAAGTCTATGATGACCACGTAAACCCACTAAACTCAACCTTTCTTACAGAAGCAGCAGCACAGAGGCAGCATGCTGACAGTATTTATACAAATTGACAGTTTGTGATTGTTTGCATCACATGCACACACAGAAAAGATGAACATACTATAAGTTCTTTATTCTTGTATCAAAGTCATCGTAATGGTATTGACATTCGTTTAACTCAAGGTAATTATATTTATATTATACGTACAGGTTAGGTTTCTGTGAGGTTGAATGAATTTAGTAATTCAAAGACCCAACTGATTTTAAGAGGTGTCAAGAAACAGTCGACCTTACCTTCCTCCTCCCACAGTAGTGGGACCAATCCCACATTTACGCTTCACTCACCCTTACATCTAATACATGTTCCTGTGAGAATGATAAAGGTTGTGGAACAGCCTCCCACTGGGAGTCAGGTCAGCAAGCTCTCTTGGTTGCTTTAACTCAATAACTGAAGTAATCTCTTTTTTGGTGTGTGTGAGTCACAAACCAACTTTTGATCTGTGATGATTCCAACTGTGTGAATGGAATATGTACATATGGATGTGTGCATGGATGTGTATGTGTTAACATTTTAGCCTTTTGTGAAGCACTTTGTCACTCAGGTTTTGAAAGGTGCTATATAAATAAACTTTTACTTACTAACATACTTAAATATAGTTGAATGCTGGTCATTAGTGGGATATATGTTACTGTTTAATGGCAGTTTTTAAGGTTAATATACTAACATGAAAACAGATAAGATTAAAATTAGAATTCATACTCATCTATTTGGATCCAAAACTAAGAGATGATATTTCAGACAATAGGGGAAAAAAAGAGAAAACTAACAAAAACACCAGACACAAAAGACATAATTTGTTATTTTCTCATTTAACAAAGTCATCAAGTGAGCAAAACCATAGTGGACTTTTGGAACAAATCTTAATGCTGTGCTGTGATACAAAATTATTTATGTGCATTTTCTAGTGCTATTTAGCTCCTTTTCTAATTTTCTTAATAAATGCGATGGAATTTGTTAATATACATTGTCATTGCTGTCATCACAATGGTTCCCTCCTTACCTCCTAATTTATTTCTACTACAGCACAGATAGTATCAGTAATGCACTGATGACATGATGTGTGGTGACTGGAGTTTGGCATGGTGTCAGAGCTCAGATAACAGTGAGTGTCATTCATTAGACGGGCTTACGTATGGCGACCGTAATGAGTGACTCTACTGAGGGGCAGCAAACAGGTGCTGACTGACGCTGAGTTTGTGTGACTTACTATGGCTCAGTGCGAGTGGGGGGTGTGTGAGTGATGTCATCGCCTGATGATGCTGATGTCACTAGTTTGTGTTTTTTTACAGAGAAGAAGGCTGTGAAGCTGTCTGGGTGTGAGTGAACACCCTCTAGTGGAGCTGCTGACAAGCTGTCCTGCAGAGCTTCTGTCTGTTTCTCACCATCAGCATTTCCAGGTAAAACCAAGTTACAAGTCACAGCAGTTTTTTTGTTTTTTTTTAGAAGACACTAACAAGCATTTTTATTAGTCTTTACATAGATCATACAACCACCCTGCATGTGGAGCAAACCAACTGTTTGGTTGCTTTGACTCAAAACACATACAGTAAATCATTTTCAGAAGAAGAGATTAATGCAAAAATAAAAAATAAAACATCTTGATCTATATCTGTATTATATCTAAACTGCTTTTTTTCTATTATTTTTTTTTACTGCTTTTTTACTGAAATGGGCATTATTAACACAAACACACACATCCAACTAACACATCCTTCACATTTTATAGTCAGTAGCTAAGTTAAATATGAATGTGACATGTTTTAAAATGCAAATGGGTACAAACTACTAGTTTAAGCTGTAATTATTATCCATCACATCTGATTCTCAGCTAAGCATCCTCAGCAATTTCAGGTTCTTCACCATCTATAACAATGGTAAATCACACATTATTTTCGCCCCATATACTTATTTTTGTTAATTTTTTCAGTTGGCATTGCAACATGCAACATTTCTATTACTTGATCCAGTTATTTATTATATAATCTAGTCCATAATGTGCTGTGCTTTGTAATGGGATATTGGGTGAATCAAGACCTCTATATAATTGTATTCATTCCTTATTCTGTTAATAGTAACAAGTATGTCAAATGACTGACATAACATTTTCTCTTCTGTTTTTCTACCTGTAACTCTAACTACAATCAGTGATTCAGTGGAAATATTTCCTCTGTGGGATGAGCAAATTGTACCATCTTTAAGATTTCTGAGCAATTTTAAATAAAAAAAAGTATAGTCATTAAGTTTAAAACACTGTTTTTGATGGAGGTTTGGATACCATGCTATACTCAAACCCTAGAAAGATTATTTGAGTGATTCTTAGAGGTAGATGCAGTGTGTGAGTCATGCAGCAGACCCAATGCTGTAAATAAGACATTTCAGGATTTTTTTTCTCTTGATGATGCATGTGCTGTAACTGACAGGATGTTCTGTGTTTCAGAGGTCTATGGTCCAGCGTTGAGCAGAGACCATGTGGTGTTTGGAGCTGCTCTTACCACTGCTGTTGATCATCAATGGTAATACATTTCTGTACCTCTTCCTTGTTTGATATAGACAGAATAGACATCCTTCCATTGGACCTCACACTCAGTACTAAGCATGAAGTGATCTTATAGCCTTGGAGATAATTTCTATAATTTCACTCAATGTCTGTCTCTGATCTTCTCTCAGATGCCAGCTGCCAGTGGAATGTTTGGGTACCTCGGGACATCTCAGCCATGACAAACTCCTGTGTGGTCATCCCGTGCACCTTTATGTATCCGTCTGGTATCAGGCCGTACCGTGGCATTCACGGTATCTGGTACTTTGGCCAGCCGTACCCTCAACTCTTCCCTCCTGTGGTCTTCAAAACACGCACAGACATTGTGCACGAAAGCTACAAAGGCCGCACCAAACTGCTGGGTGACCTGCACCAGAGGAACTGCACTCTGCTCATCAACAACATCGGCACAGAGCACTCAGGGAGATACTACTTTCGTGCTGACCTTGGTGGAGCCAACATGTATACATTCCCAGACTATGCTGAGCTCAAAGTTTTGGGTAAGTCCCGGATTAGAGTGGAATATACTGGCAATGTAAAGATATATTGCAAGACATTTAAATAGCAATGCAAATATGTGAACATTCAAATTGAGCTACATCTTAAAACAAAATGCTGCTTTACAAACAGAGTTCCTCTTATTATTATTTATTAAAGATATCCAGTAACGTCTTTGTATTCCTGTTCACCAGATCAACCCAGCATTGATGTCCCAGAGGAGATTGTCAGCGATGAGAATCTGGAACTGACATGCTACGCTCCAGACAACTGCCCCGACATGGCTCCAGAGATCCAGTGGATGTACACCGACTACCTGCCCGACCCAGAATTCAGCTCTGACTACCTGGAGGAGAGTAACACAGCGGTACTCTCCAGCACCCTCACCTTTACACCCAGACCCATGCACAATGGGCAGCTCCTGGGCTGCAGGGTCTACTACCCCAACACCACTCTGGTCTATGAGAGGCTCATCTCTTTAGATGTTAAGTGTAAGTTAAAAACCACCTGAGGCATATAATGCTTCATAATTTCTTGCTGCATATAAAGCATACTGGTAAGCCATCAGTGTTGGTGGTAAAAGTCTGGTCACATTTTTTGGGGATTTGGAATCTATAGTTAACCTAGCAAGGGAGACTCTGGATTTACACTAAAGTTTCTTTGTATTTGGAAATTACACCGTGTAGTTAATATGCTCAGGCTAAATATTAGCTTTCATTTGAAGGTCTGCAGATCCAAATTGGGTGAACCATGTAGAAAATGTAGCCCTATTAATGTTCTGCTGCACTGTTTAAAAAAAGGCTCAAATTCATATAGCGCGGATTAAATATCAACACACAAATATATTGCTGACCTATTTTATGGACTATTATGTATGTTGTCATCAGCAGGAAATATCAACCCATTTTTAATAAGAGTCATTCAGTGTTGTCCAGACTCATGAATCCTGAGGCATGAAATTCTCTGCCTTACTTTCCCTCCCAGATGCTCCACGGTCTGTTTGGGTGAACGTGTCCTCAGAGGTGATGGAGGGCAGTTCAGTGATGCTGCATTGCGAGGTGGACAGTAACCCTCCTTCCAGGATCTCCTGGATGTTTGGAGACGATGAGCTTCTGTGGGACACGGCATCCAACATCTCCCTCTCACTCGACGATGTGACATCTGCGCAAGAGGGAATCTACACCTGCGTCGGAGACAATGGCTACGGCATCATGAACACTTCACTGTACCTGGCTGTCAAATGTAAGTCCCTGAGACAATTGCTGTGCCCCAATTCCAACATACATAGTGTATACAATTAGTGTGTAGTAGGGAACTGGGACACATCATGTTACTTTGGATCTGCTTTTGGAAGTTTAGATGATGATTTAAAACAAGTTATGACTGTACAATCAGCTTGAATTCTCCAATCAGAAACAATAAAGGAATAATCCACTTTTTGAGTATCAAATACTCCTGATAGGCAGCAGTTGTCACCATGGACTCACAATAAGCTACAATGGATTTGGGAACAAATAAAAAAGCCTCAAAACATTTATAGAAACTCAGATCACCCCTCTAGCTGTTGTTGATACGTTTTTCAGTATTTTCTACTTCCCACTTCAACTATCCCTGATTCACCAACAAATCAATAAGCACTACGGAGCTTCAGAGCTACTAGGAAGTAATGGCAGAACAATAAAAAAGTGTACTGGGCAATATTGTAGAAAAACTAGAGCTGTGTCCCAAATCCATACAACATACTAATAGTATAATAAATCATTGTACTTTTTTGTTCGGTATAATCACAGAGTGACACAAGAAACAATCAAACTGGGACCTTAGAACGCCACTGACAATTAAACTTTGCCACAAGAAAGATTCAATACTTTTCTTTTTGTTTTTCTGAGACCTCTCTGGAGCTGTATAACCACATTTCATTATTTGCAGCTGTGAGTTTGTCCTTCATTTCATGTACTTCATTCATCTATCTATTTCATTGTGGAGCTTTACAAGGAGTTTCAGCGCATTGTTTAGCTCTCCAACCCTTTACCCTTTTGGTTCACTCTCACTGCTCTCAAAATGTTTTTGGTCAGAGCTTGTTATTTTCAGTAACAAGTTCTAAAACGGTTCACTACCTGTTTTTCACAAAACAACAAACAGACACAGATAACGACTATCTAGGGAACACATTGGAGCATTTAACAGCTAAAGAGACATATTTCCCTCAGGAATTGGGACCAAAAACAGAGCTGAAAGAGAGTGAATATTGGACTTAAATTAACCAGAGGTCCATAAACACAACTCCAAATGAATGATAATGTTGCTCTGTAACTGCTAGATGTGTAAATAAGCAACTGTTTGCCATATCAACTTAAAAGGTGATGAAATGTCAACGTTGATTACAGCTTGTTTCCGCTGCCCCCAAGTGGGCAAAAAAAAAAATTCTTGCAGATTGAATTTTTGTAACTGTGTGAATAAAAAAAGGAAAATAATACATTTCTCAACCTTTCTTTTTCAGACCCTCCTCGAGAGCCTGTGGTAAATGAGTCTATGACCGTACAAGAGGGAACCTCACTGGCCCTGCACTGTAGCACCCAGGGCAGCCCGGCTCCAACCCTCACCTGGCTGAAGGACGGGGAGCTGGTGGGCACCATCACCGCCGACGAGCTGTCAGTGTTGGAGATTGTCGAGATCACACCGCAGGGAGACGGGCAGTATCGCTGCCTGGCTGAGAATGAGCATGGAAGAGCCAGCAGCTCCCTAAACATCACTGTGGAGTGTGAGTGCTTCACTGCCCTGCATTTCATTCACCAGCACTGTAAAAAAGAAGGACTGGCCTACAATCAGCATCTCTAAAGTTGCTGTTACAACCTTTGGAAATACAATATTCAGTGTATATGAAGTACACTCGCAGAAATTACAAACATATCCTACTTCCTTTGAGTATATAAGCCTTTTCCTACCTATTTATGAGAAAACACATGTCCAGACCAAAATATGAAGCATGACAGTGAATAACCAACAGTTATATAAACATATACATTCATATTCAATGTTGTTATTGCAGCTCTTTACTCTGCTGCCTCCCTCAACAGATGCCCCAGTCCTTCTGGAGGAGTCAAAGTGCACGGTGGTGAGGGAGGGCGTCCAGTGTGTCTGCATGGCCACAGGAAACCCTGAACCCACCATCGAGTTCTACCTGCCCGACCTGAACATCACCATCAATGAAACAGACAACCGCTACAACTTCTACACGCACACAGACGGACACACCTCCACGGGTATGATTAAGATGCGGGAGAAAGGTGAGCGCGTCGACAACGGCCCTGCAGTCAACGTCCACTGCAGCATCTCCAACATGTATGGAAGAGAGAGCGTACACCTGGAGCTGCAGCAGGAGAGTGAGTCTAACTGTGCACCAAAACCTCCATTGTCATCCAAAAACTATTAGAAACACACTAGTGAGCCACACTATTACACTGGGTAACATGTTTCTTCATTAACATGAACATGGGCACTGTACTTTACTTTGAATCAATCCCATACAAGCTGAGTTGCTGCCGTAAATTAAATGTGCATTGATCGGAGCTACAAAATAGTCCCCAACAAATGCACTATTTCCTCTTATTTCAGTTAGAAAAATACAGTGGTCAGCTGGTTAAAAGGGGCTATTAAGCCTTTTTAAGGAATGCAACTATGTATTTGGAGTTTGTATTTACACATTTATATGTTAAGTAGTAATGAATGAACGAGTGCCATTGGTAGGGCAGAACTATCTGAGTATTGAGATACAGACTAAGGGCTTTTACACCAAATGCACAACCTGACATTGTGCAGAAACTCTGCTCTTTTGGGCATTTGCTTGGATTTTTCAGCCAGTTAAGGCCGCAACAATTTTACTTTAGTATATATATATAATAATGGTAAAAAAAAGTTAATTTTGCGCATCTCTGAATTTCCCAAGCAACGCCATTCTCTGATCCAACCGGGACTTAAAATCTCAAGCATGGCAGAAATATCAGAAAGGACTGGGATGCTAAGTTTGAAAATAAATATTGTGATTATTCAGGCTCCCCTCCAATGTACTCCATAGCATCCTCGTTAGCTGCTTTGTAGGATTATGTGCCACTTTTAATTTTGCCCATGCCTCGTGCAAACTATTTACTTTCATGGGATTGTTCTGAAACTCACATAACACATTGTTGGTTTAAGTCTCTTCATGGGATTCATGGGATTATGACAAAAATAAAAATATAGATGAATGTCAACCTCACATCTTCATAAAGGTACATGACGGACATCATAAACGTTTCCTATGTATTATCTCTTTACTGATTTAAATTCATCCAGTCATGCTGTGATTAAGTGAACAATCCTTTAATTTTTGGTAGTCTACAACTGCGGTTCCCAACCGGCGGATCAGGATCCCCACTAGGGATCGCCAAAGCTTCATAGCGGTCCCAAGGCCTTCTTGATTTTAAAGGGTTTAAGAAAACTTAAACAAATATACACAGTACGCCGATATATCAGCATTATGTACATTTCTGTGAAGAAAACTAAATTAAATTATTTTTAAAGTTTAGATTATTTTTTTTAGATCCAAACTTCAAAGATCTGAACTAAAGATAAAGCCTCATCCTGAAACATGGACTTCTCTACTCTCATTTTTCAAAATAACATGAAATATGATAATGATAGAAAAGGGGTCCTTTAAAAAAACATTTTTGGAACCAGTGGTCTACATAGGTTTAAGATGAAGATGGTGTCTTCCTCTTCCTCATGCTCTTCTTTTCATTATTGTCTCGTTGTTCACAGTTTTACTATTTTTAGTTTAATATTTTGACTAGTAGTTAAGTTGTATGTCCTTATTTTAAATTTTGATCACCTTTGTTTTTAGAAAAGTACATGATGGCAGTTATAGTTGGCACCATTGGAGGAGTGGCGGTCATAGCCTTCATCATTGCAGCAGTGAGATACGTTGGCCACAACAACAAGAAGTGAGTATAAGTGACACACTAATGGAGAGGCCGATGCGAGGCAGAAGTAGTAATTTTCCTCACTAAGCATTTTCTGAAATCCAAGGAAACACTTAAGCCTTGTCATCCATTCTAAAACACATTGATGCACACTGTTATGAGTGAATGTGGGATTGATGTGGACGTGAGAATTATTTCTCTAGAGCAATTTCAGTTTATTTGCCAGGACAAGTCCCTCCTTGGAGATCCACAGTGGCTGCCTTGTGGAGTGGGTTAGAAAGTTGGACTAACCTTATATTTTGCAGGCACAATTCCCTGCTCTGACACTGCTTCTATATCCTTGACCTGCTATGCTAAATACAAACCCAGGTAGCCCTCTTAACCAAGGTGTTTTATTTTAGCCTGAAGGCATATTTGGACCCTCAAATTTGCAAGCTTTCTCTGGCAAATCACCCCTGAAGTGGGTGTGAGCTCAGCAACTAAACCCATGAAATAACCACGTCACTCACAGCCACGGTTGGCCTCCAGCATAACCTTACAGAGCTTGTTGTTTTAAAATGGATGCCCAGGCTTGGCGTGTCACCCTGCGTTAGTGGCAGTCGAGACCGAGTCTGATTATGTGACTCCGTCCCCCAGAGAGAATGGCAACCCTAGGCAGGACGTGGTCCTGGAGAACCCAGCTTTGTACTACAGCGCAGTCAAGAAGGACAAACAAAATCTGAGGAAGAAAGTGGTGAGACATGCCGATGTCAATGATTATGATTATGATGGAGGATGGGTTGGATGACCATTCTCAAATTGTTTGGGGTTATAGTTTTGTGTAATGAAACAAGTTGTAAATGTGACACCCCATTTTGACCTCTGAAAATTAGGTAATAGAAGGAATCTCTCCCACCATCAGTCCAGTAGCTCCAACCATGACCTTTCCAAACACTGTTTTCTCTTGCTTTCATCGCTTCTCTGCATTTTTCTGTCTGTTTTTCTCTCCCCTAACTCTTGCACAGCTTAAGACAGAGCTGTTGGGCTCAAAGTTTAACTCCATTCTAGAGGAGACTACGGTAAGGTTCCTAAACAAATCCCCATTAAAACCACAAGCCTCAGTGACAGATGCATCTCCTCGCATTTCAGCTTCTGTGTTCAGTACACTGCCATTTGTTTCCAGAACTGCCTTCTGCATGGCTGCCTCATTGCTAACACAAACTGCCAAAGTAACAGGAAACATCTCAATCTCCTTGTCAATTGTCGACCAGTAACCACTAACATCTTTTCTTTATGGTGTCTGTCACACTCTTCTGCCATCTGAGCTGTCGCTGGTACCTTGCCAGTGATTTGTGCCGCTGATCGGTCCCTCTGTCTGCAGGGAGAAGACGGGGATTATCAACCTGTGGGCTCTATGGCAGGACTGGAGAGGCAAGAGCTGAATTACGCTGCTCTGGAGTTTATCGGGGCCAGGTCCAGGGAGGGGGCCTCAGGGAGGGGGGATGACGGCAGCAACTACACGGAAATCAAAGCCAAATGAATCGCGATCCTTCCCTGATCCCTCGGCTATGCGAGACGCAGTGGCAACCCCACATATTCTGCCCCATAAACTGTGTAATAACCCCCTTTCCTCTACTGGATTTCACCCTGCATATGATGACTCCTCTTCTCTCACTTCCTCAGATTTGTCATATACAGTATAATGTACCACTCGATGCCAGTACTCCCCCCTCATGCTGCCCCTCCTCCATGGGACGCCCCTTCACAGCCATCATTTGGAAAAACTAGTACTTTTTGGGTCAGAGCATGACCCACTGGACAATGTAAAGGAAATTATTTAAATTTCTAGACTCATTTGTGCAGTGTTAACCAGCGACCATGTTTTTGTTGCTTCCATTGTGGTTGTTCATGTTGTTGTCAAACAGGCATCTGAGTGCTCGCATTCATCATACTATTTGCTCTACATCTGTCTCTTAACTGTCACTGTGTCTGCTGCCAGTCGAAGCATCAGGGCAAGGAGTAACTGCGCTTTTTGTTCTCTTATATGTATGTGTGTCTATCAACTGAGAGCAAAACTCTCCTCTCTTTCCTTTGGTTAATTACATCCCAAGACGATAACCGACTGAGACCGAGAGATGGAAACACATCTCAGCAACTTGTTTCTACATAATTGTATTTAATGTGTGCTGTGACACGGTAGGCTCTCATAATAAATGAAAAAAAGAAAAGTCATCATCACTTTTGATAATAACTGAAGAGGTTTTGTAAATTCAAGTGGTACACTGTCCAGTTCTGAAAAATGTCACAGCTTCTTCCCAGCATTTTTCCAGTTAACTGTAGAATGTGTTGAGATTTTTGGGAATTTCTTGCACTGTGGCCAAGGCAAAATGTCTGTCTCATCTTATACTTCTTCTCCTTTAAGAATGGTTTCTAGCTCTCTGATTGATCCGGAAAATACAGACCTAAAGCACAACATATTTGCGTGCGAGTGGCCAAAGTGTTATCTCTTTTAGACAATGTGTGTGTGTATGCGTGCGTGTGTTCAAATCGTGCTGAAAGATCATAGGACACTGATCACTGGGGTATATGGGAAGTTCGGGCATCACTTCACATGAGAAGTTGATGCTTTATTCTCACAGGGTTGCATCAGATGTTTGAATGACAAGAAGTGATGCTGACTAGCCAGTTGGTTGTGCTATTCAAAGACATTTGATCAACCTGTGAGGTAATATCAAAGCGCACTAATAGTCTAACTTGATAATGATGGTGTCAATAATATATATTAATAAGATGTATATTGAAAGGGAAAGGGATGCCAGTATGTACAGTAAATACCCTGCATGACTGTTTTATCAGCAGGTATTAAATTGTGGATAAAAGCCAGTGTGGGAAGTAAAAACAGTCTTGTCACACATCATTCAAACATTTTTGACTGAACACTGTCTTAATATGAGCTTAGTGAATAGTACCAGCCTCTAACTACTGTAGTGTGCACTGTTTGACTACAAATCAGAGGCTATGTTTACGTGCACGGAGTAACCTTGTTATTGACTTTGCCTGCAGTTGATTTAAAGTATAAACCTGCTGTGTTAATTGATCTTCTATCAATCACTGAATGGCAACTCCAGCAGTTTGTTCACGTCCATTAAATTGGGTGACTCTCAAGGGACATATTTAAAAAAGAATGGTCAAAATCAAAGCAGCAGAGGCCAAGTTGTCCTAACCTTTAGTCAATTTGCAAACCTACTGGATCCTACATTACCCACAATGCAACCAATAGCATATTTTTGTTGGACCCTCCTTGCCTGGTAAGCACCCATATCTGTCAAACTCTGTCTTGCAGTCTCCGAGCTCTCCAAGGTTGCGATAACCCTGATGATGTCTCAGATCTTACAAAGCATGTTGTAAGAGGACATTATACAACTGGTTTCACAGTCTACTGCCCATGATAATTACCTGACCTTTATGCCACTAAGTCAGTGTAGTTCCCCTTTTAGAACCTCAACCCACTTATGAAGCCACTAATGTGCTTCTTCCACTTCTCTCCACTTTGCATCACATCTCTCCAGTCATACACCTTCGTTTCTCTCAGATGTGCTTAAAAATAACCCTGAAACACTGCATCCTTAACTGACTTATTTTAAAAAGACAACAAGAATTGATTGATTCTCATTATTAACAGGTCAGTAATCACTGTCCTTCAATTAAATATGTAGTGAAAATGCAAATTAATATTGATGGTGAGTTGTATGTTGGATTGTTTTAACAATGTAAGTCATGTTAAGCAATTTTGTTGTCTAAATGAATCATTTAAAACAATTACATTTGACTTTCCAAAATCAGTGTGTTGAACATCAAATGTGCAACTTGTGTTCTTCTCCTAAACAGACTTTGCTTCACTGATGTACTGATGTTGACAGAAGTCTCAAGTGGAAAGTAAAATCTAGCTAGAGATCTCTTCTGAAGCTTGAAATTACTTTTGATTCACATGCTCTGGCCTTAAAGGCTTTATAAATGTATGTTATAAAACAATGCCGTGCTCTGGCAGTCTCATTTAAAATGATGGATTAGGTTCATCAAGCCAGCAGCATGTCTCTTTGTTCCTAATTGGTTTCACAATCAGTAGGATTACAAAATACAGAACAGGCTTCTGACTGCTAACTGCTAACTCTATATATGGGTAGATTGTTCAGCAGTGGCAATATGAAAACAACAAAATTACACTATGAGGAGTACTTCTGTTTGAGCTGTTCACATTAACCCAAATAAATCCCTCTCTGCCAAAACCCCAGTTGAATAAAGCATGTTGATAAGGGTTCAGGTTGCTTCTGACATAAGAACAATGATACAGATCATACATAGGATGATTTTCTGAGACCAAAACATACCCATTATGCTGTGCTGTGCAGGTCTGAGTGGGTAAACTGCATTTAAAAGATCTTGCTGACCAGTGGAGGTTTAACAAAGTCATACACTGATCTATTCTTTTATTTGCATCTGAGTGAAGGCATTACTATCTCTATTTCAGTCGTCACATAACAGTTGAGTTGCCTCATGTTTTCTACTCTTAAACTTCTTTTTGCCTTTTAATTGGCACAACATTTTCATAAAGAATACCTTAGTCTTATTCTGCCTCTCGTCATGTTAAACATGTAGAGTGTAGACAAATAAGCTTCACTTACTTTGTGTTTAATATAAAAATATAAAAATATAAGCAGGTCTACAAAATGTATTGGTACCTAATACAAAAAGCTTAGTACTGGGGGGTTTTGAGTGTTGTTTACACACCTTAAAACAGGTCAAAAATGTAGTTCTCTGTGCATGTAAACCAGATATTCTTACTCACATTATCCTCTTATTAGGACACTGTTCTGTCAATTTCATGATGGGAGGGTTCAAGATATGCTGGCTAGCATTCTTAAATTTCCTGTATGCACAAAGTCAATAACCAGTTCCTGTCTTTGAACGCCTCATGGGGATTTTTTATTTTTTATTTAATTTCTTTTCAAAGTGGAAATATCAAATATGTCTTACCTAATCTTTTGTCATAGTGTGTTGTAAAGCAAATTTGTATGTTCTATACTTTGTGGTGATCATAATTATTATTTGTTTTCTACATGATTGACACAGTAATTCAGATCAGGGTTTTGCAATCTCTCTGCAAATTAGCACTGTTACTTAATGAAAGTAGGATTTCTGCAATGATGTAGTTTGCTTGCTCTTTTATTTTCTTTCATGCCTCAAGCAAATTCATCTGTCTTCAGTTCCACGCAAACATAAATAAAATAAAAGCAACACAAAATGCAAACAGTTGATTATTGATAGAAAACAAACTGAACTGTCTGTTTCCCATGCTGTCTCTTTTCTTTGAAAAGCAACATCGCCGTGATGACACTTCTACCATTATGATGTTTTACTTCTTTGTTTCACTTCTTTGGTTGTAAAACCAAAAAAAATCTTTTGAAAATGCAGTTTTACATGGTCACACTAAAACAAACAAGAGTTTAATCTGCATTTACTGGTGTCACAATGTTATTTGGTAACAACATACTTTATGAAGTGAATTAGTTAATTGTGTTTAGGGGAATGCAGGTAAGAAAGTGTAGGAGTTTCTTACACGTGTTCCAATATACCTACAGTACCTGAAAACCAGCAGGACAAGTGACTGGAATTAGAGTTACAACCTGCAAATTACGTTACGTTTTTGGGAGTACTGTTGAGATACTATTCAAAATGTTTCTATAAAATCATATACATATATATATATATATACATATACATATATATATATTGGGTTTGGTTTTGTCTCTTCAAAATCGTTGATTTGATTGCCATGAAATTTGGTGCACACATTCATGTGTCCCTAAACTGTGGGGACTAACTTTGGGGATACTCTGACTTTTTATGTGGTGCCGGTTACATCAGCAAATGTTAGCACACTAACACTCTAAACTAAGAACAGTAGCAAGTTAGCATGCTGATGTTAGTATTTTGCCTAGCTATAACCTCACAGAGCTGCTAGCGTGGCTTTAGACTCTTGGCCACTTATAAATAATTTTACTGACAAACTTCTAACTTAGCTCAGATTCACTACCAGATGCAGTATGGAGAGAAATAACTATATAACTGTTTCAGGGTAGCAAGCAAGAATTATGATTATAAATACAGAAACTTGCCTTTCCTGAAGGTTTTGCACTACAGTTGGTTAAGGTAAGTCATGGAGACAACTTTACACAAAGAGTTTCTTTTCCATTCTTTTTTGAGTTGTGAAGGTAGAGCTTCTTAATTGGATATACAACATGACACCTTCTGTGATAACTATACAGTACCCTCAGATACTGCAAAATATAAGCCATATAAATACAAAACCTAGAGTTTCTTGCTAAGAGGCTGTATTGATAAAGTTGTTGAACCAGGATGGACACTAATTGAATTTCCTTTCTCTTTGAATCTGCAGGTATTTAAAACACATCATCAGTGGCAAAATCTCATTTGACCATCGTTCTTAACTGCCATTATGGATATAAACCATTGGCTTATATCCATAATGACAGGGCATTTACAGGCGTGCACACCACACTGTGCAGACTTGAATATGTGTTATGCATTACAATGTAGTGTAAAATAGAAATGAAGACACTATAATATGACCAAAATCTGTAGAACACAAAAACTTCATAAGAAAAATTACTCAATACATCTCCAGGTTAGATTTTGCTACAATTTTACGATAAAGAAATAAAAAAAATCACATGTATACTTCCTGTTTCTAAACCTTTCGCACAACTTCACAGCCATAAGGAAAGAAGAGAGGAGTCGCTCAGCAGTCATCAGCAGAGAGAAGAACAAGGCAGAAAAAGGCAAAACACAACTTTTTATATTATCTAATTCTTCCCTGTATATTATAAAAAACTTTATTCCAATAGCAACGTTCTGCATAAGATGCCAAGTGTTTCACAGTAAAAGAAAATGTCAGAGTAGCCTGAATAAAGTGGGTGCCACATTTATTCATGCAGCTATGGAATAACTTAACATGCAATAGCCTATATATATAAAATGTGTGAAATGTTCATTATTAAACTGTACCAACATATTTGGTGTATTTACAGTCTTAATTGAGCATGAAGTAATGTTTGGCATTTGTCTACCTCTGTGGGCAGCCAGTAGGAACTGCAGCACACATCCTGATATAACTACTACTTACTATTATTATTATTATTATTATTATTATTATTATTATTTAACAATTATTATTTAAATGTTTAAGTAACTGTTTTAAGCCTGATGATGATGATGACCTTCAGGCTGCTCAACTGATTCCACTCATGGACTGCTCTCCCTTCAGATCTGACCCAGAAGCCCACAGTGATGATTCCTCCTCTGACAGAGGGACAGCAGACCACACTGACCTTCCTGAATCCTTTTTGTTGGACAAAGTAGGAAGAAAGAGCAAAGACAAGTGACGAGAGGAAGAGTCGGTTTGGAGCAGATACACTCACAGAGATCAGTGTGGAGAGAAAAGAGCAGGAGAACAAAGTAAAAAGAGGTCAAACACAACATTTACTTATTTTACTTGTTTTATAAATAGCTTTTTGAATTATAAGAAGTGATTGAAGTAATTGATCTTTCCCATAAATGTCCATTGCTGTTGCTGAAAGGTGGACTGGCGCCTAAAGATGGGAGGATTACAGATATTTATTTTGTCAGAGTTGGTGTATCTTGTATTTTGACAGTCGGGGTATCCATGATTCAAGGGGCTCAGACCTGGACAGGGGCCCGGGAATATTTTTTATATTAGAGCTTTTGTTGTAACATTTAAATAAAATCTTTCCAGAGCAGGTTTACCAAGATATTAGCCACACCAGGGGTGAAGTGGTAATAACATTTCATTAAGCAACAATGGAATAACTGAATGTGCAACATTCTGTTTTAAGACCTGTGATTTCAACTGTAGAGTTTCCTTGGTTTCATCAGCTGAACATCTTGCATTGTCACTGCACTTAAAATGTAAAAATTGCAGAGGAAGTGACTGAATGTCTTAATCATCAAATCATGATGTTTGTTCTGATCTGGGTGACTTTGATTTTCTCAGTGAGAGGCAGCAATGCAGACACAGGAGTGCATTTTTATTACAATCTTGTTATGGTGCCAACATTAAAGATAATCATCAAAAAACATATCCATAACTTTCTTTTGCTTTAGTTGCATCAATTCGGACAATACTGTCAAAATGGATTCTGTGTAAATTGCAATGGTATGTAAGTGTCAGTCACATTGTGTGGTGAAAGGGGGTATTTGCACTGCTGGAGAGTCAATCACGCCAAGTGAACTGAAGGCAGCAGGTGAGTTTGATATCCGGTAATTATTGAGTTCATGTGCAGTTGTGGATGTTCAGGACTCTGGAGAAAATTTTGAAGGGAAGCTGTTGCAGCTTTTTATTACAACTTAGAAACCATTGAAAGACAGCAACATCTTTCAAATTAAACAATCAAGACAGTTACCAAAATCACTGTATTACTAATGCTATTAGCTCTGTGCTGTTTCTGTCACCAGGTTAGCTGGTAGCAATAGAGGTGGAACATAAACGACAGAAAGCAGTTGATCACTTGGTTAACTAAACCTAAATATATATGGAGCTTATGTGTTGGAAGATTCCAGTGGAGCTTAATTTTATGTGGTTGATGGTCACTTTGCCAACATGAAGACAAGGTAAGATTAACAGTTCTTCAAACCCCTGCAGGTAAAACAGTGGATTATTATGGAGTAAGAGTATTTATATTATTATATGTAATATAATATAATAATATATTTATGTACTTGAGTATTTCATTACACTTCTACTCTACTAACTTTAAAGAGCTATCGAAATGTGGCTAAGTGCAAAGGTATAATGTGTGACAAAACATCATAATGAAGTACTGCAGAGATGCCCTGGCCTACAAATGTTTTCATACAGAAAACATGTTTGTGTGGTACAGAAACCAACAAATCTCACATCATCATGATTTGAATAATTATTTTCCCTACTTCAGACTTAATGATTTTTGTGCTGTAAACTGAATGATATGACTGTACTGTGACGAAACAGAACAATGCTGTTGTTAATACTGATGTTTTCATCTAATTTCATAAAAATGTGCATTTCATGGGTTGTAAATGGCTCAACACACCATCTATGCTTAAAATCAGAGGGTACTTTCTGAGGGCAATATTGTCCACTACAAGTAATTTTACAGTAATCTGTCAATTTTTTTCCCCCATGAGTCGATTGTTTAGTTTATAAAATGTCAAAAGTTAAAAATGCTCATCACAATTTCCCAGAGCCCAAGCAACAGTACAAAGCCAAAAGATTCATTTACTTAGTGACATAGAAAAGAGCAAATCCTTAGATTAAAGATGGAATTGGGGGATTGATCTGCACTCCAAGTTCTAAGATCTATCTGTTTCAACTCTGCTAGATATGTTTTTATCCCGCACCCATCCCTGTGGACTTTAAGATGTGCATGGCCTTTCCCTTTTTTTTTAAAACCAGCATGTCTTGAAAAACGACAAATGATTAATCGATTATCAAAATAGCTGTCAGTAATCGAAAAATCATTGCAGCCCTCGTGTTTGGCTGTTCAAGGTTCAACTCCACTGCTGCTCTGTTGGTCCCAGATCATCAACTGAGAGATTTCCATTTGTTTACTGTTAGGCAGTGAAAGGCTTCACTGGGGCAGCTCGGATATAAGTGCTTTGTAGATTTCTCAACGAGTCTCCTGATGTGATTTTTTTTTTTCAAGATTTTTGTGTGCCGTAAGTTATTTTTCTCAAGGTTTCTCGAGATAACAAAATAAAATCACATAGTTACAATACCCTTTTCAAAAAGTTTTGCATTGCTTCACAGTGATGGAGGGGATCTAAAAAGATACCAAACAAAAACATTTTCTCTTAATCATTTAATGTTTAAAGGGGCAAATTTGTAATTCAATATGATACACACACTGTGATATTATGAGATTCTAAGTGTATAAAGGAGAGGATAAGAGAAATATTGCTCATTGGTGT